AAAAAACAACATTCTTGAAAAACATTCTTGTGCCCTTATCAATAAACAAAGGATGTCCATAAAATGTACATATTGTATGCTGTGGTTAAGAGAACTGATGGAAAACAGCACTTTAGACTTGTTAGCTGGTCTTGAATGACAGTATTTGGGTAGCTGTGTACCTTTTTGCACAACACCCTGTGAAAGCACCATCAAAACATTGATATTGTAGAAAAACATAACATTAAAGTTTTTTTTGTCAGCAGTATCAAAATTTGTATCTGAAAAGTGAATTACCTTTGAAACAGGTAACCATATACCAGACCGCTAGGTCTACTGTAAAAAAACGGAAATGTCCAAATTCAAAAAAGTGCTCTGAATGGTCAAAAATGAGTGAGGGGAAATCTATTTTTATCAGTTAATGTTTGGTCAAACATAACATCGTGAAAAATCCTGGTCTGCTTGAAATGTACTGTCAGTAGGCTTTAGCAACAAATTCTTTTTACAAATTCTTTTTTTCGTTTACCATAGGTTTGCTCAGTCTGGGCAAATGAATCATTCGTTCATGTTCATCAACAATTTAAGGTAGACTTATTGCTTATAAATAAATTCACTTCAATCAGTTTCAATGCCAGGTCGAAAAAAACATACCGATTGTATTTGTATATTTTAAATCTAGTGATAAAAAGAGTCATGCCATTTCATTATAGAAAAAAAGGTCTACTATCTGATTGAAAAAAAACAAAACAAAAAATCCCTGAACGTTAAAGTACAACACCATTGTAGGATATAATTAGGCTACATTCCTTTCTAGTTTATTCATACAGAGAGATTCATCTCTAAGCAATGCTACGCTCTACAGAGGTAATAATAAGGGTTACTATATAACTACAATAGAAACAACTTCCATTAGTCAACACTTGAAAATGACAGACTTACACAGTCTTATTGGAGAAAAAACAGCAGTACATTTGTAAAAAGGTAATATTGGCTCACTACTGAGGTGTGGTTCATTCCCAGTGTTGTCGTTTAGCAAGGATATGGAAGCTTTCATACCCATGATCCTACTATCTACATTCAACACAATTCCAAATTTCACATTTAAAAAAAGAAAAGGACTGGAAGACTTTTACAACACATGCACATAAATGTCCATTACAATGCAAAAATGTCCATTACAATACCTTACAAATATTACTAGTAAAAATGATGACAACAGCATTTACAACAACAATTCCTGCGTCTTTACATACTCTACACCTCCCTGTTCTGTGTTTGGTGTGTGAACCGGATGCTGAAAGTCAGCACTTACACTGTAGTAAAAGCTAAGTACAGATGTGTGTATGGCGACCTGAGGGACGTGACCCTGAGCGGCGGCCATTACAGACAAGACTGGAAGACCAGAGCAGATTCTGCATTTACCCAAAAAAAACAAACAAAAAAAACCACATTGAACATTGTAAAAACATTGTATAGGTTAAGGTTACGCCTGTCAGGTGAACCAGACCATGTGGAGAAGTCGTCCACCAAAACTGACATTTCTAGACAGCAGTGAAAGCATTTGGTCTCCATTTATCACCCAACTGGACCACAACCAGCTTAAGTATAAAGCCACAATCAGAGTTCTTCTGTTTACCCCAAAAGCACGGTTATTTTTATAGAGATACATTTTAGAGACATAGAGAGATGATCGAGGGCACAGTACTGAAGCCACAGCTCCGCTGGTAGAGAAGAATAGGAATGTACACTGTTAAAAATGAGAGATCAGCTCAACTCAGAATGATATAGTAACTGATTCCATGGCTTTTTTTTGACTTGAGGACTCAACTTGAGGACATAAGAGTTTAGACAAACAGCTGTGGTATTGCTGGGGCTCAAACTCACAACCTCCTGTTGGGGTGACAGCTTAGTCCACTGCACCACTCAGAAACATTTTGTCTCTACAAATGTTTAATACACTGGAGAAAATATTTGCTGTTTTAACTTTAAAGCATGGTATAGTCTCATGGGGTGCCACTGACTAATAGTTCATTCCAACATCAGGAGATTGTGAGTTTGAATCCCAGCAACACCACAGCTGTCCATATCCAGAAGCCCAAGAGGAAGATATGCCCAATGGGACTGTGTGATACAATGAGTGCCAGCTAGTGAGGAAACTGAGTAAAAAGCACAAATTCAGTTTGTTTATCTAACTGAGATGCAGACCTAGAAACAGTAGCTGGGAGAATTTTTGACTCAAATAAGAAGTTTGAGTTGTGTGACCTCTTGTGTCCGTAAGTTGAGTCAACTCAAGAAAAGCCATGTAAGCAGTTACTATATCATTTCAAGTTGGGCAGAGTCCTACAGTCACTAAAGGCCATAGAGGGGATGACAAGGAGCAACTTTTGACTTTTTGAATAGGAATGCGCATGCACTTTGACCTTTGACTGAGCTGTGTGTGTGTGTGTGTGTGTGTGTGTGTGTGTGTGTGTGTGTGCTGGATGTTGTACCAAAATGTAAACGACGAGGGCGAGTTGACAAGCATGTGTTCAGAAAAGTACTGAAATGAAAGATGTAAATAAAGATGTGCAAAAAGCATCAATTCTGAGAATGGGTGCCAACTTATTATAATATTTTGCAGTGTTTTAATATTGTGTTCACATAAAATCATGAGTAACAATTATCAACTTAATATCAAATAAATAGCCTAACCGAGCTAACTTAGCTAATAATTCTTTGAGTAACTCTTGAATATATAAGCAACATGCTAATGTCACTTACGCTTATATACTTTAAAACAATGAAATAAAACTTTTATGTGGTCTTGCCACAAGCCTTACGCTGGGTACTGTTGCAGGAAATGTGGCACATGTCTGCATTTTTACTGACTCGCATCTTTTGGGAATACGTTTACATTATGCTAATTCAATGAGGATTTATTTTATTTTTAGCATTTAGAAATAGCACCAGAAAGCGGCCAGGTGGCTTCATGTCAGTACATACAGATTGATGTCATCACCTATTTAAGTTTCTATTATGTATATCTACAGTTTGTTTGTCCCTCAACCTCTGATTGTAACCTTTGGCTTAGGCAGGGTGTCAGAGACTTTGGCAGACCAGTGTAAAGACCTGGATACACATTGACAAAACAATCACATGTTGAGAATCTTTGACATAAAATATACATCCAAAAGATGCTTGTTCAGTGCCATTTGCATGATAAATGATGACATGCTATAATAAAATTTGTATTATTCTATTATTCTAGACTTCAAACTGTCTTGATTTTGCCAGAGAAGATGAAATATCAGTGTGCTCTTCAGCAGAATCCACAAAATGCCAGGACTCAACCTTCCTACATGCTAACCCACGTCTTTGCACATCTGAGGTTTCTTTCAAAATCAGTGCCAAATGATTGTGCAAGAGGAAAAATTCACTTAATGCAGCAAAGCCTTCAGGCATGCCAAAGGTGTAGGACTCCAAACATGTCCCAGGAATATTCATCAAAGGTCTCTGAAAAAAGCAGTTTCTGAATCACTTCTATATAGTGGCTAATATCAACATGAAGAGAATGCTCCTGCTCTTAAACGCTGAACAAATGACCAAGAGTCCAGATAAACGGCTGGTAAATAGATCAGTAAGAAGACTGACAGAGTGTGGGACAGATATCTAAGGCTTCTCCTGAAGTAGAACGACCCTTAGTGTGAGTATTGTAAAGGTCAGCAGACTGCACTACAGAGACACTTAAAAAGAGTGAAGTGCACTGAATTTATGTGATTCAAATTTGTACATCATTTACGTACGAAGAAAATATATCACATTACATCCTTACTTACTTTTGGCAATGGCTGTGTCAATTTATTATGTTTTATTTGTATCAAAATAATGGACACATTTGAATCACCTAAATTCAATACATTGCTTTTTTCATTAAAAATTAGGCTAATGTTATTGTTTACCTCACATAGTGAATCATTTTATCATAATTTAACATATCATGGCACCTTGTTTTTTTTTTTGATGCTTTGAGTGTTTTATGTAAATATTGTTAAAGTTTCAAAACATACTGCTCACTCGGAGGTCCATACATTCTATTTATGGAAACTTAGCTGCAGAAGTGGCCTGTTTTAAATGATCTGTGATGCCATGAAAGAGCAATGCATTCACACATCACCTATTCAGCTAACAGCAGTTTAGCCCTGCCCATTTACACTAAAGTTATAAGGAATGTTTCAGCCAGGACTGCTTTTTGAATTATGCAGAATACAGGGCGGCCAATCAGAACACAGATCATTTACATATAATCAGTATTAAAGGTGCGGTAACAAAAACAGCCTGTTTAAATCTAAGGAGAATCTAAAGAGAGGTTGAAAAATATATGCACAGTCTAAATTATGACTGTTTTTTGGATATAAAAAACATAAAAACACCATAAGTGGACCTCAGATACAAAGATAAAACAGAAGAAAAATGTAAGCTAAGGGCATTTTAAGATGATAAAACACTGAGCCAGTACTAACACCATGGTATTTCAGCTGATGCAGAGTTTCTATTTTATGCTCTCTCTTTTTTTGTTTTTCAAAAAAGTGCTTTGCAGTTCTCCCCTTAGACCTTGCCTTGGCGAAATTTAGCTTTGATAAAATATCAGAGTTTAGGCCAGAGTTTATGTGAAGGCCATTGAGACATTAGGAGCTGCACATTTGGGACATTCAACTGTCTATTAGCGCAGAAACGTAACATTTGTTGTTACTTGAACTTATGATTTCAGTTTTTGTACAGATCTTTTTTTGGTTATCTGTTTAAATGAGCAACTGTTCATCCCGCTATTTCATATTGATTATACAGGTCTGACATTCATGACTATTAACTGGGGACAGATTCCTGCAGAGGAATACAAGGAAATTGATAGAAACCTTCATTTCTAATTTCATTTTTTCATCAAAATCACCACTGAGAAACACTTATAGAACATTGAAAAAGTACAGGACTCATGAAATAACAGTACAGAAGATAGGGTGATAAAACAGGGAGAAGAAAGAAGAGCTGAGCGGTTCGCTGTGTTATGTAGAGCTTATCTGGGTAGTGTGTTGGCGTTTGGGATGTGTGCAGGAGAGCAACGTGCTGCTGGTGAGCCTCTGTGGGTGGGGGTCCCCGGTCCAGGAGAGACCACTCTGTGTGTGGGGGTGCATGGTCCAGGTGAGAAGGAGTGAGTTGGGGTCCCAGGGCCGGGGGAATAGGGGTAGGGTGGGATGTCAGGTCCGGGGAAGAAAGCCCTGTGGCTGGGGGAGGAAGAGGGCGAGAGGTGGGGGCTGGTCTGCAGACGCCACAGCAGCTCCTCATTATTCCGACTCAGGCGCTTCTTCTCATTGGACTCCTTCTCCACATACTCCTGCAGGTTGGCGTTCTCCTCGGACAGCTGCCTATTAGAGCAAACACATCATGCAAAGGTATAATTTGCACTCGGGACACTGGGGGTCCCTACTCTGTTTTAAATGTCTTTTAAATTAATTGTATTCTTAATACTTTCATCTCTGAAGGTATACACTGCATTTTTATTAATAATTTTAGTGACTGATAATGAAATTGCAAAGGCTACCTGGACAGGGCGAGATTGCGGTCGATGCGAGCCTTCAGGTCCTCGTTCTGCTGCTGCAGTACCTGCACCTTCTCCTCCAGGTACACGTTCTTTTGGGCCTGCTCAAAAGATCAGGTGACCACGGGGCTCCCCATTAAATTCTTATACACTTTACACACCTCCCCTGCTCAGTAAAACACAGATGGTCTACACTATCTCTGACATGAGAAGATGTGGCTTAAAGGTGTTTCATAAACATTCTAACTTCTAACCATATATATATATATATATATATATATATATATATATATATATGTCAAGGATACATATATATATATATTACACACACACACACACACACACACACACACACACACACACACACACACACGTATATATATATATATATATATATACATATATATATATATATATATATATATCCTTGACCTAACCCTAACTCCAACAACCTTTAACTTTAGATGTTTGGATGTTAGATTTCTAATGCCTGCAGTGCAAAAATTTCTAAATTCATAAAGATAATTCGTGCTCTGGAATGACTTTATCAAAATGCTCATACTTTATTTTAGAGCTTACCACTCTCTCCAGCTGGCAGATTTTCCTCTCCTGGTCATGAATCTGCTGGTTCTTCATCTCCAGAACCTCCTTCAGGCTCTTCAGGTCCTGCTCAATGTGCTGGTATGGAGCTAAAGCGTCCTGCACAGCACACACACACGTACACAAACACATTACGAATCACACTCTCTATGCAAGTCAAATTATGCAACTGTTTATGGGTGTGAATTAGGGGTCATGTACCACTATCTGCTCATCTGTGCTCCTCCTCAGTGCCTCCTCGAAGCGTTTGGCTTTGTCCCGCAGGGTTCGGTTCTGGAATGTCAGCGTGTCCACCTGATCCTGAAACACACACTTCACTTCAATCCCCTCAAATCTAACATTACTTTGACTTTAATAAAACTTTAATAAATACTTTGACTTTAATGCAGGCCTACAGTTTGTAGGCCTGCAACAAACTGTCATTTCTATAATTCATTAATTTACTGCCTATTACATGTTTAATAAACAGTTTAATAAACAGTTTAATAAAACTATTATGCTTTCTGTTGTTTTCTTTTCACGTTGCCCTGTCAGCAGCATTTACTGAGAGTGGAATAAAACTAGATATACTGAGCCATCACTTTCCGTAGTGACAATTTATTGGAATAACTGCATATATTATATAACTGCTGTTCAAAAAATGTTGTATTGTATGAAAATTTCATGATGAACGGACCAAAAGAAATTACTTAGAATAAAATCTCCAATAAAAACTTTCACTAAAAGTTAAGAGTGATTGTGTAAAAGTCACGGCACATTTTTATTTTACGTTTTATCAACAAAACTTGTAATTTGATAAGGGGTGTTAAAATGTTTGCATACGATTGTAAGGTGTTAAGGGTGCATAGTACAAAGTAAGCATTACAGTAATGCAATTATTTTACCCCATACAATACTGTCAAATAGTGCAACCTGGCCTCCCTTCTTTGTTTTCATGTCATGTTGGCATGTCACTGAAAAAAAGACCTTTGACCTTACCTGAAGGGAGAGTCTGTGCTTCTCAAAGTCATCCTCTAGTGTAGCTTTCTGCTGCTCATGAGCTTTTCTCAGGTCTAAGAACAGGATGCAACACAAGCAAGAGATGAGAACAATCATCTTGTGCAGAACTACACTGCAATACACAACACCTGCACCCTGCAACTAGTGGAACAGCAGTTCACACACCTCTCATGGTCCTGGCATGCTCCTCCTGCAAGGTTGCCATGGTGATGTTGTGCATTGTCCTCAGGTCTTCTAAAGAAGACTCATGTTGAGCTGTTAACTCCTCAATCTGCATATAGAAACAGATGTTGGAGATGATCATTTAATACTTTAAATTGGCAGACCTTTGAGATACCATGTTAACATCTGTAGATGAGGCCTCTCACCAGTTAAAGCTCAGGTTTCCCATGATTCTTTATTGAAACATGTAAATTGCAAGACTTTATTGGAAATTGGTGGTTTAACTGGTGAGACTGTAATGTAAAGTGGTCCTCTTAGTAGTGAGACTTTATTGAAAACAGGTGTTTTAATCAGTGAGAATTTATTGATACGTGGTGGTTTAACTGGTGAGACTTCATTGAATAGTAGTGGTTTAACTGGTAAGACTTTATTGAAAAGTAGTGATTTAACTGGTTAGAATGTATTGTAAGCTGGTATTCTTGCTACTGTGACTTTATTGAAAACTGGTTCTCTAACTCAGGCGTGTCAAACTTGACCACTAAAGGGGCCATATTAAAAAATCTAAGCAAATCCATGGGCCAGCTGTTTTTATTTTGTTTTTATTTGACATTTTGCAATGACGCGAAGAGGCCATTGTTTTTTTTTTTTTTAATATACCAAAACTGCAACAGCAAAATAGGCACTGAATACTTATTTAAAAATAATTCTAAATAAAAAAAATTTTTTTAGGTAGTCTTTTCTTTTTGTGTAACCACTTGCCCATAGATTGTTGCTGGGGGAAGGGGGTCAGAACGCACACTATGTTTTAGTGCAAGTTGGGGACTGTAGTGCATCTCAGGGTGAAATGGGCTACTAAGAAAATTAAAATAATTTTGTGGGCAGAATAGGACTTTTCAATGACCTGAGTTGGCCTACGAGCCTTGTGCCTGACACTCGGGCTCTTACTGGTCAAACTTTACTGAAAAGAGGTACTTAACTAGTGAGACTTTATGTAAACTGGTAAGACTGTATTGACAACTGCTGCTCTACCTAGTGAGCCTTTATTGAACAATTGGTGAGAAGTGATACGAATTAGTGATTGTGATAAGATGAAAAACGCACCTGCTCCTGTTGCTGGGTTCGTAGTTCCTCCACCTGTGATTGGTGCTCGGCTTTCAGGTGGTCTGTGTCGGAGGCGTGGCGGGTCCTGAGCTCCTCCTCCAGAGCTGCCAGCTCACACTCCTGCTGCTCTTGGAGCTCCTTCAGCTTCTGCTCAAAACTCTTCTCCAGCTCGGCCTTCTCCTGCTGCAACTGCTTCCAGCGCGCAGCTGTGCAGTCTGACCACCAGGAGGTGCAGACAGCAGAGACTCAGCTCTCAGATATGCTTACATTTATGGCATTTAGTAAATGCTCTTACAGGAGAGACTTACAGAGGTTTTGTTCTGTTCAGGTCAACCTCATATTTTTTACCGTGTTAACTGTTTATGCTCACACTGAGCATGATTTATCATTTAAAATCATTTCAAAGACAAAAACTTGTTTTCTGTTAATCTTCCATCAAAATGGCTTTTAGTTGCCTCTAATTTTTTTTCTTCTGATTACATCTCCATGCATCACCAAGCAGGGGAAAATAATATTAACCAGTAATAGTATTTTTTACCTCCCCCACCACCCCAAACTACAGCGCTGTCTAAAAGTCAGAGACCATTCATTTATTTAATTTCCAGTCAAACTGACCATCAAACACAAGTTATTCATTTTTTAATGTCAGAATAAAGACTTGCTTTGAGTTTTTCAAATCCGTAGGGATATTCTTTCATACATTTAAGGTTCAGTCTTGGAAGTTGGTTGCATTTTCAGCTTTTCATGATCCAAGTAATCCCAAACACATTCAGTGATTTGATGTCTGGACTCTCAGGTGGTCAGTCCATTGCTCCAAGATACCAGCAGCTTCTTTGTTTGATTTGCCAATTTTTTTCTTTTTTGTCTGTTTCCTTTTCTCAGTAGCAACGTCTTGACAGCTATTCATCCTTTCAGACCCATTGCACTGAGCTGTCTTCTCTCAGTGGAAGGATGGACAGAAACACCTGTGGATTTTTTTTAGATCTGAAGCAAAAGTGAAGCTTAAAGGCCATTAAGACCCAGATTCAAATAAATGAAGTATGGGCTCTGACTTTTTCACAGTACTGTATCATCATTCAAAAAAGCTCCACTAGCTCAGAGACCTTCCCTAATACCTTGTTTAATTTGGAAATAGGTAACGGCACAGAAAAAAAGCATTACAGTTTTCCACTCACATTGACTTCAAGCTAGCGCTAACAGGCTAAAGACCCTCTTTATTATTTTTACCTATTAGAATAAAACTTTTTGTTTCTTATTCTATTTACTTATTCTAACTTAGTGCTCAGACTTATTCTATTTGTAGTGCTCAGACAAACTGATAGAAGACTTATTCTATTTGTAGTGCTCAGACAAACTGATAGAAAAAAGCAGAACTTACCCACTTCCTCTCGAATCCGGCTGAGCTCCAAAGACAAGTCTTTCTCCTTTTGCTTGGCATTTTCACTCTGAAATACAAACAAACACAAAATTGTTCATCTCCTTACACAGGACAACACCCCAACCCAGTGTCCAGCACATTATTACCGTGCTATTATCCTCACAGCTTGTGCAACAGCAGCAGGGCCTACAATGACACTGGCCCATACTCCAAGCTGGACACTGGCCCAAACTATATTTACCACTTATTTCTCTATTACTGAATGGCTAAACAAGGCTAATAGGATTGACATTCAGAAGGGAAGAGTGCGAGAGAAAAGAAGAGAGTGATGGGTAGATAATGTGACGAGAAAGAGGCACACAGATCCTCCCCTAAGCAGAGACTGATCCACACTGATATATATGGCTGAAGATTAAATACTTGCCGCTCCATACTAATAGAAAAGCAGAGCCCATGTTTTCACAACTGTTCCACAAACTGTTTCCACATACAGTTACATTTCTCTCTCACAGACAACAATAAAGCACATTTTACTGTATTTGGATGACATGGTACATTCTGCAGGGTGCCTGTGGCAGCTGGACAAACAGGGTTTTCAAGAAGAACTACTCAGCCACCAACAGACCGCTTTTGTCTGAAGACGTTATCTATGTGCTATGTGAGTGCAGGTATATTCTATGCTTTACGACCACAAAAAGGCCAAAACAGGGCCAACGAAAAAACAAAAAGCTATGAATATAAAAAAGAGAAGCCTAAGCAAAAACTAAAGAAATGTATTTATTTATTTATAGTTTTTTTACCTGCTGATTTCTCTGTGCTGCAGTAAATACACTGTGTTTACTCACTCACAATTGAATCTGCAGTCCATGGGCCAGATTTTACCAAACAATATATCTTTTGGGAATACATTAAATAGTCAAAATAGCCAAAGTACAACTTTTGATAGTAATGATATATTAGTTTGTACAACAGTACAATAATATAATTAAAAAGAACTGAAACTTAACAATATTTATAACTTATTTATTAATGAATCTATTTTAAATATTACTTATTAATTAATACTTTGTCTTTATCAAAAAAGTTGGGACAGTGTGTGAAATGTAAACAAAGACTAAGCAGTGATTTGTCTGCTTTAACCTGTATTTAAACAAAAAAGTACAAAGGCAAGATTTTTCATGTTTTACTTTATCAGCTTCATAATTTTTTGTGAATATAAGCTCAATCTGAAATTGATGCCTGCAAAACCCATGGGTAACTTCCATATCTATGAAGGCACCATTAACACAAAAATATATATAAACATTTGCTGCCTTCTAGATGACGTCTTTTTCAGGGACATCCATGTTTATTTAAACATCACAACACTAAGCCACATTCTGCATGTTACAAGAGCATGGCTGCATAATCAGAGATTGCAGGTGCTAAAGTGACCTCCCTGTAGTCCAGATGTGTCTCCCATGGAAAATGTGCAGTGCATTATGAAGCTCAGAATACAACAACAAAGGCCCTGAATGGTTGGCAGCTAAAGACTTCTATAACAAGGGTATGGCAAAAATATACTTTCCAAACTAGATCAATTAGTGTCTCCAAACGATTAAGTGTTGATAAAAGGAAAAGTGATGTAAAATACTTGCAAACGTGCTACTGTCCCAACTTTTTTGGAAAATGTTGCAAGCGTCAAATTTGGAATGAGCGTATATTTGTAAAAAAAAATTGTTAATAATAAGTTATCATTATGTCTACAAGGTGAAGTGTCAAATATTGTGTTTTATTACTCTTTTCAATTTAATACATGTCAAACTGAATTTACTAATCACTACTTTCTGTTTTTATTAGCATTTCACTTATCATCCCAACCTTTCAGGAACTGAGGTTTATAAGGTTTGATAAACATACTTTCCTACATGCAATAAGTAAGCCTTTTAATTTTAATTTATATAGGACCATTTTTACAGGTTCGTTCATTATAAAACTGTGACAATGTAAACTGCAGTTGGTATTTTCAAATGATGTAAAAATGTCATTTTATCAACTGACATGTTTATGGCAGTAGATGAAATAAGTTAGTTAAATTACACTTCCACTTGTGAACACCAGAGAGCACTGTGCCTCTACTGCTGTTGCAGCCCATGTGCAGCTTCAGTGGTCCAAGCCTGACCCAAAAAACAAATACAGAGTTGAAGTGTAATAACAACATTTCCTGGAATACACATAAACCCTGTTATTTTCTGTTTCAGCCGCATTCTTACATGGACAGGCATTTCAGCAAATGATTGAATCTGAATGAAGCAAATCTGAATCTTGAGCACTAGAACCACAGCTGCCTCATCTTTTCCATCCCAGAGATGTATGGTCTCAACTTTGAAAAGTGCACCCTATACATATTTTGATGTGAGAGAGTTTAATACAATCAGTAGCCTCTGTGTTCTGCTCTAGCCCCCAAAGGGGAAAGTAACCATTGCTGTTTATGAAGCTATGCTTTTTAATGCACAGTCACTGTTTGGCTGCTGACAAAGTAGCTAAAAAGTGCAGTGGCGTAGCAGAACTGCTGCATTTGTGAATACAGTATTATGGAACATTTTGTTTCAGAGTCAATGACGTTGAATATTTTTACACTCTCAGAAAAACTCTAAATTTCTGGGTTCAAAAGTATCTCTAGTAACTTTAGTCACAGAAAATAAATGTGTTGCAGTGGTACATTTCAGGTTAATTTAACTTATTTTTCTTTCTTTTATTTTACTTTAAGGATCCATATTATGGAAATCTCTTTACCCACTTATTGGAATTAAAACTTGCAATACACAGACACTGTTAAAGATTAAAAACATATTATTAACTCTCTAGTCCATTAGGTCCAATTACGTCAACTAAGCTTCAAAAACAGCCCGTTTTGAATTTATTATTTTTGTGATGATGTCACGAAAACCAACACATTTACATATACTGTTAATGTCATAAGTTTAAATACACTTACGTTAAAGTCGTTAAAACTTATATTTATCTCCTCCGCTGATTCTGTGTCAACAAACTATAGCTTTAGCAAGTTGTTTAGGATATCTACCTTATACATGACACAAGCAATTTTTCCAACAAATGTTTACAAACAGACTATTTCACTGACAATTCACCATATTAAAATTCCAGTGGATCAGAAGTTTACATACACCAAGTTGAATGTGCTTTTAAATAGCTTGAAAATTCCAGAAAATGATATCATGGCTTTAGAAGCTTCTGATAGGCTAATTGACATCATTTGAGTTAACAGAAGGTGAACATGTGGCAGTGTTTGAAGGCCTACTTTCAGAGCCTACTTGCCACTTTGCTTGACATCATGGGAAAATCAAAAGAAATCAGCCAAGGCTTCAGAAAAAGAATTGTGGACCTCCACAAGTCTGGTTTATCCTTGGGAGCAATTTCCAAATGCATAAAGGCACCATGTTTATCTATTCAAACAATAATATGCAAGTTTGAACACCATGGGACCATGCAGCCATTGTACCATTCAAAACGGAGATGTGCTCTGACTTCGATGAAAAATACAAATCAATCCAAGAACAACAGCAAACGACTTTGTTAAAAGCTAAAGCTTGGGCGTAAATGGGTTTTCCAAATGGACAGTGCCCCCAAACATACTTCTAAAGTTGTGGCAAAATGGCTTCAGGACAACAAAGTGAAGGCAATGGAGTGGCCATCACAAAGTGCTGACCTCAATCCCATGGAAAATTTATGGGCAGAACTGAAAAAGTATGCGCAAGCAAGGAAGCCTACAAACCTGACTCAGTTACACAAGTTCTGTCAGGAGGAACGGACCAAAATTTCAGCAGCTTATTGTAACAAGTTTGTGAAAGGCTACCCAAAACGTTTGATCCAAGTTAAACAATTTAAAGGCAACGTTACCAAATACTAAGCCTGTGTATGTAAACTTCTGAGCCACTGGAAATGTGATGAAAAAAAATAAAAACTGAAATAGAGCACTGTCTCTAATATTATTCTGACATTTCACATTCTTAAAATATAGTAGTGACTGAACTAAGAGGGAATGTGTACTAGGATTAAATGTCAGGAATTTATGAGTTTAAATGAGTTTAAATGAATGTGGCTAAGGTGTATGTAAACTTATGACTTTAACTTTACCCACCTATTTAGCGTACAAAGTTTATTCTGTTACTTTGAAGTTATAGGTTATAGTTATTATAGTTTGTAAGTTATAATATAGAGTGTTTCAGTCCAATCTGCTGTTTTAATGAGGTACAATTCACGACAACCAATCAGAACAGAGATCATTTACATATGCATCAGTTGTAAAGGTACAGGAATCAGAACAGCCTGTTTAATATTAAGAGATAAAGAGATGCTGGAAAACTGGAAAACAAGCATTTATCATGGGCACCAAAATGCCCTGTGCATTTTTTCTGCTGAAGGCCAAAGATGCCTTATTTAACAAAGTGCCTATTGGATGTGCTGAATAGCGGGCTGAGTGGGTGGGACATCAGGAATGTTAAATAGCTGGTGGTCTAAAGCAGCACACTGAGAGCAGCACTGACTGTACTGTAAGTACCTTCAAGCAGAAGTGCTGGGTACAGACAGCAAAGGCGTCCAGGCCCAGTGTGCTTCTCCTCAGCTCAGCCCGTAGAGCCTGCAGCTGTCCAGCCTGCTCCTCGCAGTGAGCCTGCAGCCGCAGCACTTCCTCTTCTCTCCTTTCCTGCTCCTCTCGCTCCTTCTCTCTCCTCTGCGCCTCCTCTTTCCTCTTGTCCAAGCCTGGGGAACTGCTGCGTCCCAAAACTGGCACACCCGGCCCCCCGGGGACCCGTGCTGCTGCAGCTGCTGCCCTCTGCCTCTGCAGGACTGGAGACAAGAGCCCAGCATTGTTAATTATTAAAGTTGCATGGTCCATACTGTATAAAAACAGAGTTTCTGCTTTGTTGAAATAAGAGTTTGATATACTATGTAAACATTAATGGTTAAAATTTCCATTCAGTCCAAAGTTCCAAAGTTAAACTGAAACAAAAATGTGTGTGATGTCACAGTCATGAATACATATTTATTTTACATATGACATATTACATATGACTGCCCATAATGATGTTCAGCTCAGCCATTTATGCTGAGGTTGTAAGAAGTGTTGTTACTGCACATTTCAGCTTGGACTGATTTTTGAACAAGGCACACCAATGGAAACCAAATAAATGCATTTATCATACATATTAGGAATGTTTGACTTTAGTTTTTGGGATGCAATTTAAAATGAAACAATGTATCTGAAATGTATAAAATACTATATGTATTTTTTTTCCATTCGGGCAAGGAAACCTATTAGAACAGAGGTCATTTACATATATATCTCTTTTATTCTGAGCGGTAAACAAGACATAAGAAATGGTCATTTACAAATGAATTATGGCTGATTTTGGTCTATACACCTACACAAACACAAGTGTACTTCAGGTGGAAAAATAAAAAACATGGACCCAAATCAAGTTGGTCTCTGAGCACCTGATGGGGTCAGATTGACACATTATCTTCATTAAGTTGAATGTGATGCTAGGATGATCCATTGCTTTCATCACTGTACAAATAAACCTCAGAGGGAAGACATGTCTGTATATGTTAATGACACACAACAGCAGCTAATCACTCATTATGGTGCCTGTTAACTCAAGGTACTCAGAGTTAAGCATGCTGACAATTTGTTTGTAAAAGATGAGCAGCAAATCGGCCACTTAGAGATTGTTCTGAAAAAAAGGCTCATTAGTGAGGCAGCTGGGGACATGGCAGATGTTGAAGTTACCCTTCTGTGTGTCATAGCAAAAGGCAGTCAGGTCCTGCTCCAACAGAGAATATGCACACCCCTATAGCGACAGTCAAACGTGTGTCAGCACCCCACTGATCCTAAATGCCACACCATACATCACTGTGCTTCATGGAGCTGTGCTCTGGTGAGGCGTAGGGGTTACACAGACCAGGCCAGGAATGCACAAGGGCCAGTGTCCAGCACAGTTTGGTAGCTCTTCTATTCATAACACACTCACTAAACCTGGTGCTCGAGCAGGGAAGTGGACACCAGCCCTCCAGATCTGGATTAATAAATCCACTAGTTGAAGCTAGTTGGTGCTGTGGGCAGCAGCTGACTAGTTGAGGACAGTGCCTGAAATACAAAGGTGGTAAAAAATGCAGCAAGCAAGCAGGTGGAAAGAATAAAAATTCATTTTCTGCTGAACATAAAGCCCAAAGTACTTCATAAGCATGGAAATACAGTGCCTTCCACAAATACTGGCACCCCTGTTAAACACAAGCAAAACAGGCTGTAAAAAACAACCTTTATGGCTAATCCATTTGATCTTTCATTCAAAATATTACAAAAATGTAACTAAACTAATCTAAATAAACCTAAATTTCCTTATTAGGAAATAAATATTTTCCTCAAATCTGTATGTGCCACAATTATTGCCACCTCTTCATTTTAATACTTTATGCAGCCTCCTTTTGCAAAGATAACAGCTCTAGAGTCTTCTCCTATAATCCTTAATGAGACTGAAGAACACATGGCAAAGGATCTGAGACCGTTCCTCCATACAGAACCTCTCCAGAACCTTCAGATTCTGAGGTCCACACTGTGGACTCTCCTCTTCAGCTCATCTCACAGGTGTTCTATGTGGTTTAGGTCAGAGGACTGTTTTCAAACCTGTTTAGTCACACATGCAAATCATCAACAAATTATGCAATTCAGCCCACTCTGCTGAGAAACTAATATATCTAAAAGGCACAGGTTAATATGTTTGGACTGAGCATGACAAACTGCAGTTGTGGGAGTACATGAAGAGGAAGGTTGTTCCTTCATTTTTTTCCTCAACATTGCTTTAATGGTAGATAGAAGTTTTTGTTTTGTTTAATTTTACCCTAGGCTACTTCTACTTCGTTTCATAGAATTCATAGGTCTGATTTTTTGGTTTTCTTTGACATAGCATGCTTTGGCAAACACTGAGTGTTGGTCATTAATAAGCATTAGCTCATCAACATGTAGATGTTTACTGGCTTCTACTAAGTACATAAAAATACCACAGCAGTAAGCAGAGGATGGTGCACTGATCACCGCCATGGTGTCTGTATAAATAGGATTTAATTACCATGTCGCATATTTTGCATCTCATAGCATGGTTACTGCTGAGTTTCTGACCCACAATATTTTTTTTTAACTCTGTATTTTTCCTAATTTAGCTGCGCCCTATTCTACCTGCTAGCTCGGTCTCCCCCTATCTCATGATGCTACCTAGCTGGGACAATGAAAGTTGGCAAATGCTTCCTCCAAGACACGTAAAATGTGGAGGAGAACACTATCAATTCTGTTACATCAGCTAACAGACACTGGCAAGCATCACACAGAGCAATGGGGAAAGGGAGGGCAGTTTTACCAATCCACAGGGCCAATTATGCTCTCTTTGACTCCAGGCCATGGATAGCTGTGGCATCATCAGGGACCAAACTCATGATCCCCTCACAACAGGGCCAATGTTTAGACAGTTGCTTCACTTGGGAGACCAAGTAACATTTCAAACTGGAATCTGGAGTTGTGTGCTACAATTTTTCTTTGGGATCTAAATGGATTTGTGCCACCTTTCTATAAAGCTCGTCCAACATCGCAACAGTAGCTACAAAAGAATGCATTTGTGGGCGGAGCATGGATAGGTTAATTGGCTGTGACAGAGGACTGCACTTGTTCCAATATTCTAATTCACAATCCTGTGTCCGCTTGCTGGCCAGCAGCCACTGCTCACTGTACAGCTATGACTGGACCTCAGCATTCATTCACTTAACAGCTATAACCAGCATCGACTGCCAATTACATAAATCTATTAGTGTCATATTGATTGATGAACAAGCTTCTATGTTAAACTAACACAGATTACAGTAAGAAGAATAAATCACAATGACTTAAAGCCAAGTGCTGCCAGAAGCTCATGTATTTCAACTCTAACGCACACTCACGTGCATTTGCTCGCACATATATATGGTACATATATACCTATACCGCCAGAGTGGTTTGCCCGGCAGTCACAAAGTCATCTCTATGACAACAAGGGAAAAAAAGAAAGGGGTTTATGTTGTCTGTGGTAATGCAGGTCTAATGGAAGGGCAATTTTTCTCGCCACTCAACAGTGACAATGTTGTGACAGATAGAAGCTTATATGGAAGCTTATATTTGCTCTTAGAAGAGAGGCTACTCTGATGGGAGAGAGAGAGAGAGAGAGAGAGAGAGGGATGGTTCTTATCGGTTCATCTACAGGTCAGGTGAATGAACACAGCTCACTTGGGACGTCCCCACAGAGGTTTGAAGGGATTTGTTTTTTATTAAAAACAGCTTGAATAGTTTAGTGTTATTAACTCTAAAGGGTAAACATGATGTCCTGAAGTGCATTTTGTAAATTGCACAGTTAATTAGTAGTTATTTTTCAGTCTAAAAATCGAATAAGAATGAAATGAAGACTGAAGCTGGGGGGATGCGTGGTTGGTTCAGACATAAAGGATTGTGGGTAGAATACTGAGATCCATTTAGATCGACTTGACAGCTGACTTGAACCCCTGTGTGGTTTAACTGTGTGAATGGAATGACTATGAAGCTCTTAAGCTGCTGCTGCACCTCAATTTCTCTTGGTCTCCCTCCGTGTCTGTCTGTCTGTCTGAGGCCAAAGTTGTAAAATGAATTCGGAATCTCTGAAGGCTGTTGCAACGTTGTTATTATTAACCCTGTAGACAGATCCTGAGCAGAGTACTGGATGTAGGCTGTGGAGATGTGCGAGAAATGTTTGACCGGGGTTCTTACCTGGTGACTGGGGTTTGGGTGACACAACAGCCAGCCGTTTTGGGGAGGACTGTGCGGAACGAGAACCATCGGATGTCTTCTGGAACTCCTTGCGAGAGCCTAATTAGGATGAGCAGAGATACAGTATTAAGTAGGGGTGCACCAAACAATAAAACAGCTCACTTTCCCTTACTGCCCACATGTTCAGCTGTTGTGACTGTTGGAATAACAGTAGATTCTGTTTTGATTTTTTTCTCTGTTGGTCCCTTGAATATTGAGGAATTTAATGGCCACAATAACAGTAACACATGCTGAGTTTGTACAGAATTACTGTGCGTTTGTAATGTATTAGCTGGACATCATCATTTGAGCTTGTGTACTTGCATTATGTACCTATCCTAATACATCCACAAATGTGCCTACAGACAATTCAAATGTAGTGTACATGCACTTGGTTGGCTTGCATTATAAACCTCAAATCATAATACAGATCTGCTGAAATAAAAATAAATTGGTCAATTTCCTTTTGTGTATTAAGAGTGAATATTGGCCAATTCCAACTGTGCCCCAATACTATTAAGTTCTGTATGGATGGGGTTAATTCTACATAGGGAGGTGCAGTACACATTCAGGGACTGAACTTTTTCGGTACGAACGGTGTTATGAAAAGGTATAAATATGCCCCTTTAAAATGTAGTGTACCTTTAAAACGAATTTAAAGTCAACAAATGGACCTTGAGGACCATGTTGTAGGGTACACTTACATTATTTGTACCTTGGGGGACTAAGATTTACCCAGATAGTACTGTTTTTTCTAACAGTGTAATGTAGTTGTTATATCTCTGTGATTTTAGCTGTGTCTAAATGCATAATTTCACTACTTTTTATGGACTGCGTGCTCCTTGATGCAAAGATTATGGTGGCTTCTATCTGCAAAAAAGTAAACCGCAGAAATGACATGATATTTTGGTTTCAAAATGAATGAATGCACGCAAGGCAAGAGGCCCAACTGTTGATATTGTATTTTATTATTTATTTCTTAAACTTTTTACATGTATTAAGCCCACTGTTGGACTAATAGATTACCAGAGTGCATTTCTATCTTATCTTACATTCTAGTGAGACCAAGGCTTCTGTTAGGGAGGTTATTATCAAATAGTTGGTGTAGTGGATTGCCAGCTCACCAAGCACAAGGAGATAAGGGGTTTGATTCTACCATTCATCACACAGAATTTCAATGGGAATCAGAAACATTAATATGATATATCAACAAGAGCTTCTGCCTGAGACTTCTAGTGTTGCATTCATTACCATTGCAAATTGTTCTGGATAAAAGAATCTGCTAAATATGTACATTTAAGGACAAGGTTTTTTGAATGTTGATTTGTCTATTTCACAGTTCTGTTTAGCTCCAATTAAAATGACTGAAGTGAGATGAACAAAGTGTAAACTTTAGTAGATAAAACAGTTTTCTTTTGGAGACAGAATCTGCAGTCAAATAATAATAAATCACAATATACTGCAATATATCATATTGCAGATCTATTTGACTCATATTGTGGCTCAAGTATCATGATTAGGGTTAAGCAATATAGAAAAAAAATTATACACTACAATATGTCTTACATAAAACTTTTATGATACCAAGTACGTATCACAATGTTCTGAAAGAGACAAAATGTGATATCACATTTAAAAACTGCCATCAAAAACTGGTTATCATTCAACATTTCACATATGGCATTGCACTAAACCCAATTAAACAAGACTAAATATGCTTTCTTTATAATAAAACATGCAGTTGTTCAGTGCTTAAGTCCTGATAATATCCACAATATTCTCAGAAAAGCATGTCGTGCATCATAATTAAAAATTTTATCACAATAAATGATGATATTATGTCATACTGCACCTCCCTAATCATGACATTATTGTTTCATGAGGTCTGCAGAGTTTCCCACCCCTAGAAATAACCCTGGGTGACATCAATTCCGTGCAAACTGTCATGTTGATAAATATGCTGCCATAGGATGTGGGAAAGCAGTTTTTTGCATTTTCTTCTCAAGTATAGAGGCACTCATGGAAGCATTTACTTGCATTCTCTGCAGTCTAAATGAAGCCAATAAGTACTGGTCTATGGCAAACACTGAAATCTAGGTGTCCAAAGAACTAACGAAAGGAGTAATGCTGTGAAATATTGTGTGTAGTAGTGTTGATGTAGCTTGCATGCATGTCCCTAACATATTCCTGAGCCCAATTTATGCAAACACGCTTTTTTCATTTTTTGGGTGGGATGACAATGCACAGATTGGGTAGGTACCTCCATCTCCGTAATTTATATCGAAACCCAAAAAGACACTCTCTCTGTGCTCTCTCTTTCTCAATCTCTCTCCACTTTGCTGTGGTGCCCCTGGCTCAGCAGTCTGTAAATCGATTTCAATAAGGTGCAGTCAGGCACTAAATGAGGCGGTGGCATGGTCCTTTCACTCCCCAGCCTGGCTGGAACAGCGTGCTGCGATGCTGACACACACACAGCTGCACTCTATTGCATCACCCCGTCCATGCTCGTTACACTGATCGCAGAGTGCAGCTCACCTGCAGAGTGTCCCTGAGGCAAGGCAACCGCATCGGGCGCCACTCACTAAAGGCACTGAATCGATTAACGTCATGTGCCCCTCATTTTTAATCTCCTCGAATTGTGAACATCAGGGCTGGAAATCTCTGACCTTTGATTTGATTACAGTTATTTAGGAAATGATTCACTGCATCATGAAATTAAAAATATCAAAATAATTCAAACATTTCATCAGAACTGTTTTTAGAAAATGGATACACAAATGTGACTGCAGGAGCTTTTTAGAAACACACACACACACTTTCTAAACCGCTTATCCTTCTGGGTCATGGGGGCGCTGGAGCCTATCCCAGCGGTCATTCGGCAGGGGCCACACCCTGGACAGGTTGCCAGTCCATCGCTGGGCAGACAGACAAACGTATACATTCACACACATATTCACACCTAGGGGCAATTTAGCCTGTCCAATTGGCCTGACTGCATGTCTTTGGGTCTATGGGAGGAAACCGACACAGAGAGGAGAACATGCCTACCCACTGCACCACCAGTTCACAACCCTATTTCTGGACTACCCCTACACTCGATTCAACTAATCAGGTAATTGACAAAGTAGGTGTGTAAGAGCAGGAAAAACACTGAAAAGTGCAGGACAGGGTTGAGAACCTTACTAAATATCATAACTAACCCTCTTACTATCTTTGACCTCATTGAATGTTTAACGTCTCTAAATAAATCTTCGATATCATTTTTGCTTCATATTTAATGATCTATTTCCTAATTTAATGGGGACAACTGGATAAACATAAAATTTAAATGATGGTATGTATTCCGTGTCCAGTACGCATCAGTGTTCTTTGGGGTAGTTTTGACCCAAGGCTATTTTAGCTGTATAAAACATAAGAAAAAAAAAAATCACACAGTTGTTTTGGATGACAAAGTTATTGTAACTTTTTTACTGTAACATTATTGCAATTTTATAATCTTCAAAAAACTTCTCTTTGCTTTAGGGTCCTAACTTAACATAACCACACCTGTAGTAGTGCGAGAACCACTGATAGTTCACACAACATGGGGGAGGGGAAAACATAATTCCCACAAGAACTTTGATACTTCCTGCAGGTTTAATTTTCTGGGGTCAACTTGACCCCAAGGATAAAAGATGTTAGTAAATTTAAGAATAACAGGAGGACTAGAGGTGCTGCAATATCACCATTTTTTATACCAATACTGAAACCATAAGCATCTGTCAATTGCAATTTTGTTCTTTAGAAATGTTAAGGGAGCACTATACACCATTGAATTTCACCTTCATACACTCCCAAAGCTACTGTTACAAGGCTAAGAGGATACAGCCATCAGGCACAAGCACATGACCAATAAGTGCACCAGAAAGTAAACTGGAATAATATTTGCCATCACTGGTTCAGAGAATTTCTAGTGAGCCTTCATCCAGCTCAGACTGGATGACGTGTGTAACACAGTGCCTCGAACGCCACTGCTATCATAATAAGAGTGCTGTATAATTGTACAGTCTAAATATGATAATTTAAACAGTTATTGTATGTTATTACATGCACATCAAAGGCTCAATATTACCCAAAGAAAACTGCACTAAGCTTTAATCATGTAAACAGCATGGCTTGATTGTTGAGTACAACTAAGGTTTTAGTGCGCTTAGTCTGTTTAAAATGTGGCTCAGCTTGATGTTGGCTGGACTGAGACAGATTTGGACATATAACCATTTAGATCACTTTGCTGACTCACATAGCAAGTTTTTTTATGGTATTGTATTATTTTTTATTGTGCTTTTATTTCTATTGTGTGCATGTAAAAGTAGTAAATGTGAATGTGTGGCTAAATTTGTTATAGGACTAAATTGGATTAATTCATTTTTTGGACATCTGCTGACTCCATCTCTAATGATAACTGGTAACAATCAGTTCTAACATTGATTATTATCAATGCATCAGTGCATCTGAGTGCATCTGAATTCTGTAATTTATCATAGTGAAATAACAGCTTAAAATGAATAACAATAATTCAACTAGATTTAAAGCATGTCTCCTATCCAACAAGAGAGAGACAAGAGTATCTTCGCAAAGGTCTCTGAATTTTTGCACACACACATACATACATACACACCCACCCACAGACATTTTGGGGTCCCAAAGCTCCTCATTACTGCTAGCTCATCTCCACATGTAACGGATAGCCACATACAGACCCCCAAGAGATTACCTAAGACCCCCAGGCACAATCTTATTTGCACTAGCATCTAGCTCCTGAAGCCCCTTCCCCCACCCCAAGCCTCCAGTACATGCTCCAAACCACTCCAACACTCCCAGGCCCTGCCCCTTCTATAGCACCCCCCCCCAAAAAAAAGCATCACAATATCAGAGGCATGTAAAATGTCTGCATGTGCACTGCAAAAAATGATGTACTGGCAAGTGAAAACATCTTAATGTAGGCAACAGATCTAATGCATCTCGTTATGAGATAAATAAAAATATTATTAAATTACTCAACCTATTTCTAGGTATTACAT